AGCCTGTGATAGGGGTTATGTCACTAGCCTGTGATAGGGGTTATGTCACTAGCCTGTGATAGGGTTCATGTCACTAGCCTGTGATAGTGTTAGGGTGACTAGCCTGTGATAGGGCTCATGTCACTAGCCTGTGATAGGGTTCATGTCACTAGCCTGTGATAGGGTTTATGTCACTAGCCTGTGATAGGGGTTATGTCACTAGCCTGTGATAGGGTTCATGTCACTAGCCTGTGATAGTGGTAAGGTCACTTGTCTATAATGATGTTACGGTCATTATCGGCTGATAGCTCCAAGGTCAGTATCCAATGATAATGTTAAACTCCTCCGAAGATTTACGAGTTCCCTAGAATATTGATAATCGTGCACTGAAAATAACGAAAGGAATTCCATTTTGTTAATATAGAGTTGCATTCGTGTTTCCTCTCTCCCCCTGGAACATGCAAAGTGGATATTGACATTCATTCATGATTTTTGTATAAAAAGTCACGAATGTTAATTCAATTCGACAGCTATGAATATTTTGCACATTAATCTTTCTCTCCCTATGATTTACATAATGATACTGGTGGCCCCCAATATTTTACTGGTGTAGAGGAAAGCTATTATCCGTTTGATTTAATAGCTGTGCGTTTCATCAGACAAAATAGCTCTCTCGCTGAGTCGTACATGTAAGCTATTATGTGCAACTAAATCATTGTAAAATACGTGCACTATTTTCAAGCAATGTGTTTTTAGCACATGGTCTTGTTTTGAGCTTAAAACTATTTTTTAAATACAGCTGTTTAATGAACTCTACGATAGGGCATTTAGGGACACAGACACAGTCTGGCGACAGTGAGTTTATACTTTGTAAGAAACTTATGTTTAAACCGGAAATTCTCGGGGGTAAATTGGTGTGTGAAACAACCACTTCTTTGCTACTCTTAACTCTGACAGCTTTATATGAAAATATAACATAAGCTCTTCCCTATGAAACAAACATTCTCCATTTGATTGGGAGAGAGACTTGCAGAAACCGAGGCTTCGATGGGGTCTTAGAGCCGAAGCTGCCCATGAGACAGATCAGCCTCCCATGAGTGTGGGAGGGGGGGGGGAAGCTGACTGAATGACAGAGTGAGTAGACTTCAGATTACAGGCGATGAGTCACAATAACGGGGCTAAAGAATGTTGACCAGACCACACACTAGAAGGTGAGGGGACGACGACGTTTCGAGCCGTCCTGGACCATTCTCAAGTCTATTCGTGTGCTACCACTGACATCGTAACAACCGCTATTATTGCCCTGTGACTGACTACTACAGCTACTGTAACAACCACTACGACTACTGCTACAATTAGTATTGTGACAGCCATTACTTCAGCTACTCAAGACAACCAATACTTCTGCTACTGTAACGACCCCCCCCCCACGGTTTATGTAAAAACCACTGCGACTCCTACTGTAACTACCCCACTGCTGCTTTAACAACCACTGTTACAATCACTACTGCTACTGTGACAATCAGTAGCTACTTCAGCTACCCAGATAACCACTGCTCCTGCTACTGTAACAATCATTACACCTATAACATCTACTTCTACTGAAACAAACACAACTACTGATACTTTAACAATCACCACGGCAGCTATTGTGACAATCGAAACTGCAGCTATTGTGACAACCGAAACTGCAGCTATTGTGACAACCGAAACTGCAGCTGTTGTGACAACCGAAACTGCAGCTGTTGTGACAACCGAAACTGCAGCTGTTGTGACAACCGAAACTGCAGCTGTTGTGACAACCGAAACTGCAGCTGTTGTGACAACCGAAACTGCAGCTGTTGTGACAACCGAAACTGCAGCTATTGTGACAACCGAAACTGCAGCTATTGTGACAACCGAAACTGCAGCTGTTGTGACAACCGAAACTGCAGCTATTGTGACAACCGAAACTGCATTCACAACCGTTCCTTAAGATAAACATTGCCCACGTAAATAAAACAAGCATTTAGGGACTATGTCGTATTAAATTCCTCTCTTTTTACACACAAATATTGGGAGGTGCGGCGTCCTCTACTGCAGTATCCTGCTGTACGAGGGCTCTCTAATATTTTATAACAGAGTTGAAACTCTATAGATACACATATCCAGTCACCAAATACAACAACATATAAATATGCAGCCTTCGTAAATAAACAAAAAGACCTCTGAAATAATTATTTAGGATAACGTACAATTCTGAAAAAGCGACTAGAATTGTATTATTATTTTGTAATGTTAACTCGATAAACAGCCTTTAGTTAACAGTTTCATTATAAGCCGGTATAGGGAGCCGGTCGGCCGAGTGGACAGCACGCTGGGCTTGTGATCCTGTGGTCCTGGGTTCGATCCCAGGCGCCGGGGAGAAACAATGGGCAGAGTTTCTTTCACACTATGCTCCTGTTACCTAGCAGTAAAATAAGTACCTGGGTGTTAGTCAGCTGTCACGGGCTGCTTCCTGGGGGTGGAGGCCTGGTCGAGGACCGGACCGTGGGGACACTAAAGCCCCGAAATCATCTCAAGATAACCTCAAGAAGAAAATAAGCAGTGTGAGCCCTAAGTCACTGCCCCTCGAGCGATAACTACACATCAAATCAGTTTCTGGAAAATTATCTTGAATTCTGCATGATACATAACTCTGTAGGGTAAATTATAAGTACCTTGGGTTGGGCGGTAGAGCGACGATCTCACATCATGCAGGTCTGCGTTCAATCCCCGACCGTCCAAGTGGTTGGGCACCATTCCTTCCCCCCCGTCCCATCCCAAATCCTTATCCTGACCCCTTCCAAGTGCTATATAGTCGTAATGGCTTGGAGCTTTCCCCTGATAGTGCTCTTCCCTTCTCCATAGTACCATAAATTATCGTTCAGCATGGCTTAATTAACTATAATTCAGCATGGGACAATAAATGGCTCGGGTTGGAAATATCTGTACTTGTCATTTTACAATCAATTATAACATCATAGTTACAATGGCGTGTAAGTCTTCATTGTACAATAAACTATAATTCGTCATGGAATGGAACAATAAAATATCGTTCGTCATTGAACACTAAACTATCATTCCGCTTGGTACAATAAATAGTCATTCTGCATATACTGTATGTGTATTAAACAATAATTTTTCTATGGTAGACTAAACTATTATTCTGCTAAGTACATAAAAGTATCCTACTATATGGTTCAAATAAACTCATTCTGCATGGTACAATAAACTCGAACGTAAAAGGTGTCATTAGTTCTACTGTTCCTGATACAGCCACTAATGTTGTACTAAACCTGCTAGTTTTGTACTAAATCTACATTTGTAATACTGAAGGGTACTTACTGCTACTCAGATCATGTCAATGCTACTCTACAATCAGAATCAGAATTCTGATGTTTCAACTATTGCTAGACTAGTAACTACTGAGAAGTCTAATACAGATACCAGGCCTGACTTAATTAGCTTTCAGGGGTCTTAAAAGAATGTACGGAAGAACTTATCAATCCCTAGTCAAGAGTAGTTAATCCATCACGAAAGGTGAACAAATCTCCCAGATTTAGCGAAGGTTATAAATGCGGTCTAATTTGTAAATAAGAGATAAATCATCGGTATCTAATTTGTAAACAGTTAGTGTCCTTTGTAGTAAAATTACTAACAGCAGTATTCGCACATGACATTTGTACACAGTTTGACAAAATTATAAAATGATTTATTATATAATATATATATATATATATCAGCAGTAATGATGATATATGCCTAAAGTTTCATTAATCCTTTGATACTGTTCCTCATGACAGATCAATAAGACAGATTTATGTGCATTGTTTTGAAGAGGATCTCTTGAGATCAGGGTTTGGTGTCGTACAGAAAACTTGGGGTCAAGAAGAGATTGTATGAAGTCAGAGCTGTGAACATCCGCGGGTAAAGTGCCACAGGGCCTTAACATGGGACCTTTATTGATCATCTTCACACTGATTTAAATGCAGGAGTGAACTGCAACACCAGCAAATTTGCCGACGACACGACGTCGGATGTTAAATTCAAACCAAGATGCAGAAAAGTTACTAGAGACCATTAAAAGACTTTCGAAATAAGAAGTGACATGTATAGGCCACTGTGGACAGAAATGGTTCTGAGTGCAGACGATAAGTGACAATAACGTGACTGAAGAAATGATGACCAGACCACAAGACAGAAGATGGAGAAGGATGACGTTGATTATCACACTTATCCTAGACCATTATCACACGACTTGATAATGGTCTGGGACGGACCGACACTTCGTCGCTTCTCCATCTTCTGAGTTGTGGTTTTGTCATCAATATCAAAAAAGTAGGCACCAAACCGGGAAGGTTATGTAAGGTTTCTTCATCAAATGGTCCTGAACTTAATCAAAGAAAACTTGTGGCAGATACCTCCTACTACTTCCACTACTCTCATATTATTACTACAACTATTACTTCGACCATCGCTACAGCTGACTACATCCGCCGAGACAACCGTCACCACAGTTACTACTTAAACTACTTTTGCTACAGCTTGTACCAATACTTCAATCACTCCTACCACGACTACAACTACATCTACTAGGCCTACAACTACATCTACTAGGCCTACCTCTCTTACTACAGCCACCACCATTACTTCCCCAAACAGGTCCTTGTCACCCAGACACACAGACACCTTCAAGTGTAACCTGGCCAACTGATCTAGCAACCCGTTCTCGCACTTTCGTATAGTCAATATTGACTTATTAAATACGTGCATATGTGACATACTAATTTATTGTGAATATTTTAGTTTACCTTGAAAAGCTTCATAGAAAACACCGACCTAACCTAACCTTCTTAGTATGTTAAGATAAGCATCTTATTGCTTCGTAATTACAATTATTACTTAACCTATTATAGGTGTAGGTTAAGTAATAATTGTAATTACGAAGCAATAAGATGCTTATCTTAACATACTAAGAAGGTTAGGTAAGGTCGGTGTTTTCTATGAAGCTTTTCAAGGTAAACTAAAATATTCATAATAAATTAGTATATCACATATGCACTTATTTAATAAGTCAATATTGACTCTAAGAAAGCGCGAGAACGGGTTGGATCTAGTGGCGTCTCCACCTTTACACGACAACAGCTCAAGTCACCTATATGGGCAAATTTGCTTTTAGATACATAATACAAATTAAAAATCTAAATGAATATATGAACAAAGTGAGTACTCTGTGCGGCTGAAAAGCCATGTTTTTTGCGATTAGAGTTAAGTATAAGCCTCAAATTAAAATTATTAGGCCTATAAATGATTACATTTTGCCTAGCAAAAATATGATTAGCTTCTTTCTTAGACTGAATTTTTTTAATGCCATTTTGGAAACTAGTATTATGAAAAGTGTTGTTGTTGTTGATGTTGCTACTGTTGTTGTTTTGGAGTCTGTCTCTAACATTGTACAGACTGTTCCTAACTTTCCATAAGTTGTCTGTAACGATGTTGACACTATTACTAATGTAGTAGAGGCTGTTTTTAAACAATGTATAGGGTGCTCCTAACATTGCAGAGTCTGCCCCTAACGTTGTAGAGACTGTCCCTAATGCTACAGAGCTGTATAAACTCTGACCTTTAGGGACTGACTAACGGTATAGAGGCTGGCCCTAACGTTGTAGAGACTGTCCCTAATGCTGCAGAGCTGTATAAACTCTGAACTTTAGGGACTGACTAACGGTATAGAGGCTGGCCCTAACGTTTTAGAGGAGTCGACGTGGGAACAGAAGTTGTAGGGAATATGGCAACAATATGCCTTGACAGTTCATGCAGCTGCCAAGGATCTTCCTGTAGTCACTCTAAGCAATGTTAATTTCCTATAGGTATTGAAACTTCGCCTATATCAGCTGAGGCAGCATGGAAACGTTGCCTCAACAGCTGTAAATTATACTACTACAGCTGTAACGGTTACAACTATAGCTGCATGAAAGGCCTCTACAGCTGCAGTGTTTACTACTGCAGCTGAAGGCACTGCCTCTACAGTTTGGGTAGATACTACTACATTAACTTTCACAGCTGGCTTAGTACCTCTAGAGCGATGCTTGAGCAATGAGTCGCAGATAAACACTAAATTATTGACCGGTAATGCAGTACAAGTCCCTAATGCCCGCACGACAATAGTCATTAACACCCAAACACAGGTTTCAAGGTCGTCCTCTTCAGATCATTTCTAAATCAGAGGACAGAAGCAACTGAAAAACTATGTACAGCGGTATTCTAGGTACTGTAGTCTGCACAGCCTTGTACCGGTAGCATGACCTCTCGTTGGATGATTATAAAGAATGGGCAACAACTAATCGTGTTCTAAAACTGTATATATATCGTCCCTAGAAAATGCCTAGAGTGTGTAAGATTTGTTCCGTGTGTGAATGAAATCTTATAAGGTAAGTCACCTACTGCAGACCAGAGAAATGATGTCAACATAGTCCAGGTTGCAGCTAGGAGAAGTCATGTTTGGTCCACTGTGACGGGAGTGTTGCAAGGCGTATGGAGAGGTTGCAAGGCGTGTGGAGAGGCTGAAAGAGTGCGTCGGCCATCGTGATTCGCTTGTTACACTGCAGGAGGGCTATGTCTCCTCCTGTTTGGAAACTGCGTCACTCGTAAACCAGATGGGGTCATACTGAATCACCCACCAGGCTGACGCTTCTGTCACAAGAGGGTCAGCTTATAAGCTCCGATTGGCCCGTACAGACAGGAATATAGTAGGCGGTGCAGCTTGGCTAGAGGTTGTAGCTGGCATGGTAGGTCAGGTGGGGGCGTCCTCCAGGCTGGCGAACTTGTACCTACAAGGCCAGCGAGTGTCGATATCGTGGATGGGGATGATATCTTCGGACGGCTTCTCCAGTGCTAGTTCCTCCCGCACCTGCAGAGAGAGAGACACGAGGTGTTATAAACACACGCAGCTGAAAATACAAATGAAAAATATACATTTTAATATAAACATGTTCCTGCCCTCCAAATACAAGACAAAATTTTAATTTCCAATAGTATGTTGATCATTAAACAATTAAGTAATCATGAGTAGAGCCCGGGGAGATGAAATAGTGCCACCCACTTGTACATGTCGACCCAAGTTAAGAAATTAAAAAAGATGTTGTATATAACGTCAACATACAATATGTAAGTGAACGGAAGTAGCTGAACGTGTGTTCACGTTCACGTGTGTGAACGTGTGTTCATAGGTGAACGTGTGTTCACCTATGAACGTGAACACACAAACTACTTCGACGCGTTCTGCTGATTTACCCTCTGTAAAAAATGGGGTGGATAAGCCTAACTAAAAGCGTCTTAACCTATGCTACCCACTTTACCTACTAGAGCCTGACCTATGGTACCCACTTTACCTACTAGAGCCTGACCTATGCTACCCACTTTACCTACTAGAGCCTGACCTATGGTACCCACTTTACCTACTAGAGCCTGACCTATGCTACCCACTTTACCTACTAGAGCCTATACTCATTAATGTCTAAAAGCGTAAGTACGAAGGAGTTTTTAATTTCCCAAAACTGCTGTAAAATTTATGCAGGGATCGTTTATGTTAAAAATGTAGTGGCGTCAGTAAGAGGACAAGTTGCCCTGGGACATGACTCGCAGCTGAGTGGATAGCGCTTGGAGGTTGTAGTCATAAGGGCCCGGGTTCGATTCCTGGTTGCGTGTGTTAAGAGAGAAATATATGTAGAAAATATATTATGGAGGAAATATATCCCCCATAAGACGGGGACATTGGTTAGAAAGGCGGGGTCCAAGAGCTAATAGATCGATTCTACAGATACAAATAGTACACACACACACACACACACACACACACACACACACACACACACACACACACACACACACACACACACACACACACGTGCAAACAGTTCCGAGCGGACAGAGATCTTGGGTTGTAGCCCTATCGGCCTGTGTTCGATTACTGGTTGAGGCAGAAACAAATGGGCAGATATTTCTTACCTGATACGTCTGTTCACCTAGCAGTTAATAGGTACCTGAGCGTTAGACAGGTACGCTCTTAGGGGCTGTACCCTCGGGATGTGTGTGTATGTGTTAGAAAGACATATATGTAATAGATATGATAGAGGAAAATATGATGGAAGACAGTACATTAGACACAGGGAAATGGCAGATTAAATACCGGTTAAAAATAGGCAGGAAATCACTAGTCTCTGTGGATTTAGTAAAGGATTAAGAATTTGTTACGATAAATGGATTATCTGAACCAATGCAGGGATTATCGGATTAACAATTCGGTGTGATGGGTAATTAGCGTTTTGGTATAATGTGCTTTTCTCTCCAACTGAGTTTGTCCAACCACTTGCATTGGACGGTAGAGCGTAGGTCTCGCTTCTTGCAGGTCCGTGTTCAATTCCCGACCGTCCAAGTAGTTTGGGCACTATTCCTTTCCCCCCGTTCCATCCTAAATCCTTATCCTGACCCCTTCCCAGTGCTATATAGTCATAATGGCTCGGCGCTTTCTCCTGACAATTCATTAATTCCAACCGAGTTTTAAAGTTTCTGTTTGAACGTTTTTGTTAATTGACAAATTGTTCAATCAGTTTGTGTTTTCTAGTCTAGATGTATAGACTAGACTAAATATAGCTTCATAGAATATTTATATAATGGCTAGATTTATAAAATATTTATAAATGCTCGACTAGTCGACTCTGCAGTGGTAAGACCGAACCCTTGACAATACTCAGACTTAGGGAAGATTTCATCTGTTAACATCTGAGATGATATCACCACGAAGCTGTTGTTTAATGCTGGGTAGATGGCAGTACAAGGAAATCACACAGAGGAGATCTTGAGGTTATCTTGAGATGATTTCGGGGCTTTTAGTGTCCCCGCGGCCCGGTCCTCGACCAGGCCTCCACCCCTAGGAAGCAGCCCGTGACAGCTGACTAACACCCAGGTACCTATTTTACTGCTAGATAACAGGGGCATAGGGTGAAAGAAACTCTGCCCAATGTTTCTCGCCGGCGCCTGGGGTCGAACCCAGGACCACAGGATCACAAGTCCAGCGTGCTGTCCGCTCGGCCGACCGGCTCCCTCTATGTATTCCTGTTTATAACCTGCCCGCTCGCCCTTCCCGCCAAACACACCGAAACTACGACGTTGGTACAACGTTCGACCAAGTTTTAACACCTAACCAGTTATAACAACCAATATAGCAAGTTGTAACAACGTTCTAACACGTCATAAACACGTTAAGCCAAGATGTAACAACTTTATTACAAGTTGTAACAAGCGGAAAATAGAGACAGTTTCGGTTTGTTTCCCGGGTTCTGCCTACACGGATGAGACACAATAACGTGGCTGAAGATATAATGACCAAACAACACACCAGAAAATGAAATAACGACGACGTGCCGCCTCTCCTGCTTGAATCCACCTCATAATTGTCAAGGACCTTTTATACCAATTAGCTTTACTTTTGTTATCCACGCATGTACCGCTTATATAAAAACATTTGTAATACATTTAAATTAATTAAGGTAAGGTAATTATCAAAAGAAGGCACCAAACCGGGAAGGCTATGTAGCACATAAGTGCGGAATAATCAGAGGACGCTAAATATCACCAAGGATGCCAATACGAGAACAAAAACGCATAAGGCGAACGATATCAAAAGTATCCCAGTCACCAAGAATTCTATTGAGGGACAGGTGACCGCGAGGGGCGGTCGGAAAGCAAGACACACGCTCCTCCTGGAAGTCAGGACATTTAACAAGGATATGTACGACCGTAAGAGGGACAACGCAATTCGGACAATGAGGTTTAAATTAATTATTATTATAAATTTAAGGCTGAAGGCAGCCGTTTTGCCTCAACTGTGATAACTTCCATTTGGTCTACGTCTTTAATTCAGTGGTGTCATCTATATTCGTGAAAAGTGTTCATGGTGTTTTTTTGAAAAGTAAACTATCATGGAAAATTTTGTCGAGCGAATCCCTTATGATTTATCGCAGTTTACAAACATTTTCCTCCTGTTGAGGGTGTTTGTGTAGTTGTTCTAAACCTCCATCCGCAACATTTTTGTATTGCATATATGTTTCTTTTCTTATGTTCATTCCTTTCTCTGTTGTGGGTGTTTTGTCTCACCTCTTAAGACACTGCACGCAATTAGCGGCTTTGTCAAATATTCAATTTCTGTGCCTATTAATAAACCACTTTAACCTGTTTCTCTTTATTTTTATAAATTTATAATTATCATGAAGCATTGCCTCCTTGTCTCTTAGTGTTAGAGTTAAGCTACGGCCATTTCCACATTGATGGATTCTATGGTTCATCTCTCCTTGCACAGTCATATTCGTGTCATATGTTTACGTGCCTTTCCTGTAATATCTTGGTTATCTTGAGATGATTTCGGGGCTTTTTAGTGTCCCCGCGGCCCGGTCCTCGGCCAGGCCTCCACCCCCAGGAAGCAGCCCGTGACAGCCGACTAACACCCAGGTACCTATTTTACTGCTAGGTAACAGGGGCATAGGGTGAAAGAAACTCTGCCCGTTGTTTCTTGCCGACGCCTGGGATCGAACCCAGGACCACAGGATCACAAGTCCAGCGTGCTGTCCACTCGGCCGACCGGCTCCCTGTATGCTGGTCTTCAAACCTGATCTTATAATAAGAAACAATTAAAAAAAAGTGAGATAGAGCTAACCGGTCTTCCTGGATTTCTTGAAGAGTTATATTAGATAAGGTTAGGTTAGGTATGATTCGGGAAGATAAGGCTTAGTTACCTGAATAAAGAAGAAATTGTAAGGCTAGACTATGCATGGAAGATTTGGTTTTAAAAGGTTGTTGTTGTTCTCAAAATGAAAAGTAATTTTCTACCCAAAATATTGCTGATGATTTTGTGTATCCGGTAATCTTATTTAAACAAAAACTTTCAGGTCTTCGGTGAGGTTAGTTGAGATACGAGGAAACATTTCCCTTTCCTTTCCACATTTTCATGGCTAGGCGCGCCACGTAGATTATTGATAGTGACTGGGGTTTGATAGTCAACCACAGAGGAAATCCTGGTAGATATTGATTAAACAGACGTAAGAGCTTATCGGGGCCGGGGTGGCTTGTATGACCAGAACTTTAAGGGTAGTCCAGGTGGCAGGTGAGGTCCCGGTTTCTGATCTTTTTTTTGTGTCAGAGGTGGCTGGAGTGTCAGAGGTGGCTGGAGTGTCAGAGGTGGCGGGAGTGTCAGAGGTGGCGGGAGTGTCAGAGGTGGCGGGAGTGTCAGAGGTGGCGGGAGTGTCTTACGTGAACGAGAAGTTAGTCCAGGACTGACCACCAGTAACTGCTTCAGTACCTGTTCCACTCGCCTGAAGACCCGAAGAAGATTGAGTCCTGCTAGCTTCTTTAGGTCCTGTAGAGACCATGACGGATCCTTCAGCAGCTCGGCGAACAGCTCAGGATACTTGGACACGTCCTCCAGGCCCGTGGGAGTCCTGCGAAGGAAAAATTTGTTTAATATTCCAGACCTTCAACAGTTTAAATCATTCTCCTCTTCTTGTATTCTTGTAATTAAATGTATTTGTCCTTCACTTCCTAATATTCACAGCACTATGCTATGTGTCGAATATTACGGAACAACTAAGCACTCCTGGGAAATGATCTCCGCTGTTTAGCGTTGACAAACAGTGGTTATCCCACTCTGTTCAGATGAGTGCAAGTTATATGTATTTTTTTCAAAGTATAACGTTTGAGGGTTGCATATATGCAGCATTCTTGAACAAATGAATACTTTTATATTTTAATTGTTACTAAAATAATTAAAGAAGCTACCTGACGCTATCTGAGCTATATTAGTTCCCCAGGATAACAGACGCTTATCCTAGTTTCCAGTGACTTCTACACTTACCGTGTTCCCTATGACACTTTACGCTTATCATTGTTCCCCATGCCACGTACCTGGATTATACCTAGATGGGGTTCCAGGAGTTGTTCTACTTCCCAAGCCCGGCCCGAGGCCAGGCTGGACTTGTGAGAGTTTGGTCCACCAGGCTGTTGCTTGGAGCGGCCCGCAGGCCCACATATACCTGCTTGATGGTTCCAGGAGTTGTTCTACTTCCCAAGCCCCGCCCGAGGCCAGGCTGGACTTGTGAGAGTTTGGTCCACCAGGCTGTTGCTTGGAGCGGCCCGCAGGCCCACATATACCTGCTTGATGGTTCCAGGAGTTGTTCTACTTCCCAAGCCCGGCCCGAGGCCAGGCTGGACTTGTGAGAGTTTGGTCCACCAGGCTGTTGCTTGGAGCGGCCCGCAGGCCCACATATACCTGCTTGATGGTTCCAGGAGTTGTTCTACTTCCCAAGCCCCGCCCGAGGCCAGGCTGGACTTGTGAGAGTTTGGTCCACCAGGCTGTTGCTTGGAGCGGCCCGCAGGCCCACATATACCTGCTTGATGGTTCCAGGAGTTGTTCTACTTCCCAAGCCCCGCCCGAGGCCACACTTGACTTCTGAGGGCTTGATCCAAAATCCTGTTGCTTTGAACTGTCCTCAGTGACATTTCCACTGCTGGCCAGTTGTCTCGTACCTCTTGCACAAAACTGTCCATATCTTCTTGAAGGGTTCCAATTTCGCTTGGACAATATTTTTTATAATTGCTGGGAGCATATTGAACAACCATGGGTCTCTGTTGCTCATATGTTCTTTGATTGTGTCTATGGCACCCCTGCTCTTCAATGGTTCTTTTCTGCATTCCCTTCATATCGTTCACTCCAGTTTGTTGTTATTCGACTTTGAAAATTTGGGACATGGCCCTCCAGTATTTTCCCGGTAAATATTATTTGATACCTGTCTCGTCTCCTTTCTAGAGAATACATGTCAAGAGCTTGGACATCATTCCAATACTTTTTTGTTTTATAGTGTCTATGCGTGCCGTATATGTTCTCTGTATTCAATCTATTTCAGCAATCTCTACTGCTTTTGAGGAGGAATGTCGGGCAGTACTCAAGGCTAGCTCCCAAGGACACCTTAGGATTATATTAATTCCCCAGGACAAAATTTCTTTCGTTTTCAATCTGTTTTAAACGCGGCATTTTTGTTCGTTTTAATTCTATTTTAAATTACGGTTATGAACGATTTTTGAGAATTTGTAACAATTATTATACAACGTTAGGACAAAACATTTAAAAAAAAGTTTTTTTTTAATGTTATGAAATGTTTTTTTAAATAAAACTTTTTAAAATGTTAGATATTATTAATTATTGGAATTATTAGGAATAATAAACTTTAATGAATTCAGCCGAGATAGCGGGAGGGAGGGAGAGAGAGGGAGGAGGGGGGGGAAAGAAGGGGGGGAAAGAAAAAGAGAAAGAAAGAGAAGGAAAGAGAAAGAAAGAAAGAAAGAAAGAAAAAGAAAGAAAGAGGGAGAGAGAGAAAGAGAAAGAAAGAAAGAGAAAGAGAGAAAGAGAGAATGAATCTACATATTCAGCAACTCTCTCCCACATATTCAGCCGCTCCCATCCATATATTCACACTCTTCTTCATCCATTCTCATCCTTCCTCCCATTATTATTATACCTCACGTGTATTTGAGCTAATTTCACCTTACCAAAGAGTGTAGTGGACGTTACCAATATTATGTAGTTTCTAGAATAATGCAACCACAGCACCAGCCTTTTTTTTAATTAAAAATGCAAAATTCTTCTGGAATTTTATATTTTATTAAAGTTTTCTCTGTTAGAAAATGCCTTGGCACTATTTTTGACTAGTTCCCTTCCTCTTCTGTTTCATTTCGTATTAACACAATAAATAAATAATAAATAAATGTTTATTTAGGTAAGGTACATACATACAAGAAATTTTTACAATGATTGGTTGACTTACAATGATTGGTTGACTTACAATGATTGGTTGACTTACAATGATTGGTTGACTTACAATGCCGACTTCAAGGGACTCTTAGATTTATAGCTGCGTGCCCTTAATAGCCAATCAGGAGCGGGCAAATATATGACCAATTTTAATTAGCCACACTATCTTGAGGTTATCTTGAGATGATTTCGGGTTTTTTTTTAGTGTCCCCGCGGCCCGGTCCTCGACCAGGCCTCCACCCCCCAGGAAGCAGCCCGTGACAGCTGACTAACACCCAGGTACCTATTTTACTGCTAGGTAACAGGGGCATAGGGTGAAAGAAACTCTGTCCATTGTTTCTCGCCGGCGCCTGGGATCGAACCCAGGATCACCAGCCCAGCGTGCTGTCCGCTCGGCCGACCGGCTCCCTCACACTATCTGAGATATGCCACATGATCGACTTCAAATGGCCAAGATATCAGAGATCAAGACTCGGATCCAATTAAGAGAGAGAGAAGATAGTTTTCTCCGAGAGGAGCCAGGACTGGTTCCCATGAATAGTGAGACAAATTCGTGTTTCGTTGGATATAAAAAAATACATGTAAGCCGCAGAATTGAAAAGGAAGTTGGACTGGCGTATCTCTCCCGGCTTGCGTGTGGAGGCGCATATCGAACACTGTTCCAGGTGGAAAAGCAAAACTGATTTGAAAAGTAATTTAAAATTGTAGTGGCATCCCCGGTCGGCCGAGCCGACAGAACGCGGGACTTGTGATCCTGTGGTCCGGGGTTCAATCCCAGGCGCCGGCGAGAAACAATGGTCAGAGTTTCTTTCACCCCCATGTTCTGTTACCTACCAGTAAATTAGGTACCTGGGTGTTAGTCAGCTGTCACGGGCTGCTTCCTGGGGGTGGAGGCCTGGTCGAGGATCGGGGCGCGGGGACACTAAAAGCCCCGAAATCATCTCAAGATCATCTCAAGATATCCCAGTATTTGATGGTTCTCATTGCCCTTCCGACCCTTGTTTGACGCGATGCTTCGTCTACGCTCATAAAGCATCAAGTTATCTGACATCGTTATTCTTGGATCCTTTACATATGACATTCCTGTTCTTTGAAATCTGTTTTGTGTCTTGTATTCTGGAAATAATCACTGTTCAGTGATGATGATGTTTTCCATTACCCATTGAAACACCTTGTTAGTGTGATGTTTACTACTGACATCATTGTGACCAGAGGCGGTGAGTGAGGCGAGTGGGAGACCAATACTTCTGTGATCAACTGACCTGTTGATGCCGTCGAAGCCCGCTCCCAGACCCACATAGTCGACGCCAGCCATGGTGCGGACGTGGTTGATGTGACCTGTGAGAGAAGGATCAGTGTTAAGAGACATTAAAGTACAACTTATCCCATGATGCTGAATGTTAGACCAGCCTAACACGCCATGACTGAGCGGCAGGATAGTTATCAACACATGTCTGAGTACACACACACACACACACAGTAATCACACTAACGTGATGTATCAGTGAGAAAATCCCTAGGCGCTGTGATGAGGATTCGAACCTGAACGGTGGGAACACCGCGTCGTATATTCCCTGTGTTGACGACCCACGTGGCCTGGGTCAGCCACCACGTGGCCGGGGTCAGTCACCACGTGTGTCCGTGGTCAGCCACCACGTGTGTCCGTGGTCAGCCACCACGTGTGTCCGTGGTCAGCCACCACGTGTGTCCGTGGTCTGCCACCACGTGTGTCCGTGGTCTGCCACCACGTGTGTCCGTGGTCTGCCACCACGTGTGTCTGTGGTACTGCTAATATACCATGAGCATTCAGCAGACATTGAGGAGACCCGCCCACCAGCGCCCCGCCGAAGTAGCCCGACCCTGCAGGTCTTCACTGAGCGTGTAAGACACACACCGTCACACCGTTACCTGATACTCGGAACAAAATGTTCCAAGCAGCTCAAGCTAAAACAACAACATATATAAACGTGAGTACTGGTACTAATAAATGGTTCCTTTTCATCTCATTTGTGTACATGTACAACACACTTGCAATTGTGTTAAGCTGAAGGAATGGGATTATTAGAGTCGAATTCTACTACAACGAGCTGGAATGTCCGAAAATCAGTGGCTTAAGCCTCTCTTAAATGCTCATTTTCTGTTCGAAATTGGAACACTTCAGCCTGAAACGCGCTAATTTGGACGACTCATAATTACTGTGATTAAATTGCTCTCTCGTTTTTGATAAGACTTTTCTTGCAATTTGAAGGAGTTGGAGAATTTTATGACAAAAATTTCACTAAAATTCTAAATGATTATTGCTATATTATTTTCTAAAGGTTTCGGCGCACTGACACGCTCCGAGGTTCACTGCACTCCTATGTGTAGAAGCAACAAGAAATTATTCCCTGTGAGCCGAGAAAACCTGTTTTCCGTGTAATATGCAGGCGATGAGTCACAATAACGTGGCTAAAGTAAGTTGACCAGACCACACACTAGAAGGTGAAGGGACGACGACGACGTTTCGGTCCGTCCTGGACCATTCTCAAGTCGAGAATGTAATAATTCCTGGACCATTCTCAAGTCTGTGTAATAATTCGTCACACAGACATGTTGGGTAGATTAGGACCAGCAACACCTCACAGAGTTAGTGTGTCGGCCGTGTTCCACAGGTACATTAGTGGCCTTGAACCAGGACAGTGAGAGCGGACAGTTCAACCACTCCAGAGAGAATGAGAGAGGGAGAGAGCAGCTCGCCATCTCCACAGAGAGAGAGCAGCTCACCATCTCCACAGAGAGAGAGCAGCTCACCATCTCCACAGAGAGAGAGCAGCTCACCATCTCCACAGAGAGAGAGCAGCTCACCATCTCCACAGAGAGAGAGCAGCTCACCATCTCCACAGAGAGAGAGCAGCTCACCATCTCCACAGAGAGAGCTCACCATCTCCACACAGAGAGAGCAGCTCACCATCTCCACAGAGAGAGAGCAGCTCACCATCTCCACAGAGAGAGAGCAGCTCACCATCTCCACAGAGAGAGAGCAGCTCACCATCTCCACAGAGAGAGAGCAGCTCACCATCTCCACAGAGAGAGAGCAGCTCACCATCTCCACAGAGAGAGAGCACCTCACCATCTCCACAGAGAGAGAGCAGCTCACCATCTCCACACAGAGAGAGCAGCTCACCATCTCCACAGAGAGAGAGCAGCTCACCATCTCCACAGAGAGAGAGTGGAGATCTGCATAATAACAAAATGAGTGTACTTTTCATCGACAATTAATAGTGAATATTTCTAGACTATTACATTCCTAGCTAAGCCAACTTGTCCTCATCGGAGAAGTGTTGAATGACAAACTCTGCCTATGCACATTATTCCATTATATTCTCTTAACCAAGAAATATGAGAAAAATATGATGCAGGAAGAGGGCCAAAGGTGGCCTTTGGACCTCTTCTCAGGGTCCAAAGGTCACCTGTGACGACACACGATAAGTTCGATATTTTAGCTGTTAATTTGTCTGTGGAGCAGATTAAACACATTTTACTCCACAGTATTTATTAAAGCTTCCGAATATTAAATTGAATGGTTTCTACAAATTTAATGGTTACCAAAAAAATATAATAAGTCATTAAGTATTTTAATATATGTTAATGATGTCATTTTCTCATTAGGACAAGTCAACTCCTATGCCTTTGGTGATGAAAGTTTGGGCAGAAAACTTGCACGAGCCTCGAGCGTCTCATTACTTAAGGCATCTCACAGAGAGACTTGCTACATCTTCCTCTTCGCAAACTGCTTTCCTCTAACATTTGCAACATTTTTCAAGATATATATTAGTCACCTGGCAGGGCACCTAGAAGCTGGAAAATATTACTAGTGATGTATATTGAAGTCTTAGGTATGAAAGGGTCATTAAGATAGTCTTTCACTTGAGGGGAGCAATTAGAGGGTAAGCAATTAGAGGGTAAGCAATTAGAGGGTGAGCAATTAGAGGGCGAGCCATAATCTCGAATACCAATAAATTAGTGATACTTTGAATAGCATTTATAATATAGGAGACTTACACTTTGGGTAAGTCTCACACCCACTCTCCCACTTTGGGAGAGTGGGTGGGTGTGTGTGTGTGTGTACTCACCTAATTGTACTCACCTAATTGTGCTTGCGGGGGTTGAGCTCTGGCTCTTTGGTCCCGCCTCTCAACCGTCAATCAACTGGTGTACAGATTCCTGAGCCTATTGGGCTCTATCATATCTACATTTGAAACTGTGTATGGAGTCAGCCTCCACCACATCACTTCCTAATGCATTCCATTTACTAACTACTCTGACACTGAAAAAGTTCTTTCTAACGTCTCTGTGGCTCATTTGGGTACTCAGCTTCCACCTGTGTCCCCTTGTTCGCGTCCCACCAGTGTTGAATAGTTCATCCTTGTTTACCCGGTCGATTCCCCTGAGGATTTTGTAGGTTGTGATCATGTCCCCCCTTACTCTTCTGTCTTCCAGTGTCGTGAGGTGCATTTCCCGTAGCCTTTCCTCATAACTCATGCCTCTTAGTTCTGGGACTAGTCTAGTAGCATACCTTTGGACTTTTTCCAGCTTCGTCTTGTGCTTGACAAGGTACGGGCTCCATGCTGGGGCCGCATACTCCAGGATTGGTCTTACATATGTGGTGTACAAGATTCTGAATGATTCCTTACACAGGTTCCTGTGTGTGTGTGTGTGTGTGTGTGTGTGTGTGTGTGTGTGTGTGTGTGTGTGTGTGTGTGTGTGTGTGTGTGTGTATTCATCTAGTTGTGTTTGCGGGGGTTGAGCTTTGCTCTTTCGGCCCGCCTCTCAACTGTCAATCAACTGTTACTAACTACTATCTATTTTTATATTTTTTTCCCACACACACACCCCAGGAAGCAGCTCCGTAACAGCTGTCTAACTCACAGGTACCTATTTACTGCTAGGTATCAGGGGCATCAAGGTGAAAGAAACTCTGCCCATTTGTTTCTGCCTGGGCCGGGAATCGAACCCGGGCCGATTTTTATTAAAAGAAAGGATTTCCGAGTCGTGAGTGAAGAGTGAGCAAACACTCTAGGCCTCTCTGGTTAGGGTGACTAACAGTACTTATTGCTCTGCTAGAAATTTTCCATTTCTCGATTCTCAATTTGTTTTAATCAATTTTTAAATTAAAATATACACACACTACACGTGTAAATATAATTTCAAATAATATTTATAACGTGAAAAAATATATTTCTCATTATACTTCCTAGGTTTTTCTCTGATATGTGAAATATAATTTTAAGGTCTTGAGAAATTTTCATATTAAACGACGCATAGACAGCGCCTCATGCATTCAAATTGCTATCTTTTGCGACCGAACTAAAAGATGTCGTTCATCATCCCACGAGAGATAAGGCTTGGCAGAGCTACAGAGAGCTGGTGGTGCCTAGATTACTGCACGATGGTAGATGGCACCGGGTAGATTGTAGCCACGACTCTTGTTGAGGCGAAGCTGGGGTAGATTAGAGGGACGACTCTTGCTGGATGAGGAGAGCTGATAAGATCAGAACCACGACTGTTGAGGGGAAGCTGGAAAGATTAGAGTCACGTCTCCAGGTGAGTGAGTCTTGCGAGGTGAGGGTAGATAAGATGATTGATAAGGATGACGCGTTGACGCACTCCGTGATGTAATGACTTGATTATAAAATTACTTTTTCTTGAAGGTCATGGGTATAGGACGCAATAGAGGCTGTGTACACAGAGGGCCTTGGAGGCCGTGTGTACACAGAGGGCCTTGGAGGCCGTGTGTACACAGAGGGCCTTGGAGGCCGTGTGTACATGATGTCCAGCAAGTTACGCACACAGGGTGTTTTGTAAGGCATGTGCACACGGCGGCGTATGTACACAAGGAGTCTTGCAAGACGTGTCCACATTTTGTCAAGGTTACACACACACACACACGTGAGATACGGGGTCAGGTAGCCGAGTGGACTGCTCGCAGGATTCGTAATTCTGTGGCCCGGGTTCGATTCCCGGACCAGGCAAAAACAAATGGGAAAAGCTTCTTTCACCCTGAATACCCCCCTGTTACCTAGCAGTAAATAGGTAACTGGGTGTTAGACAGCTGCTACGGAGTTGCTTCCTGGGGTGTATGTGTGGGAAAAAAATTAGTTAGTAGTTAGTAACAGTTGATTGACAGTTGAGAGGCGGGCCGAAAGAGCAAACCTCAACCCTCGCAAGCACAACTAGGTGAATACACATGGTGACTAGGAGCTCATGTACTCAGTGTTTCCTGGTAGGTATATTTTCTCATTAGATTGCGTACACAACATATCTTAGACCTCGTGTATATTTATTGTCAAGCGTTTGAC